AGGGTCTGTGACAGGACACAAAAACACAGATGATCCTAAAGTCAGATTGTTGATTGTTCAGGTAATTCACCTAGCATTGTGAGTCCCCCTCAGACTGAAAATAACAACTGATCTGGGAGAAATTTGCCCTGATTCTTCTGCCATAGGTGACCTGATTGAAAATCAGGCTTAGTTCGTACTGTCTACCCCACCATCATGAAAATGAAGGGACACGTTTTGGAAGAATGGTGTTTAACTCTTCCAGTAGTTCTCCAAAGACAAACAGAATCTGTACCAACCATTTAAGTTCACTATAAATACATGTTGCCTTGTTTCTGAGATATATTACATTTTGTGTATCATGTTTTTCTGCATGTGATTTTGGAGGCTTATGACCTCCTCTTTGTATTCTTCCTAGTGAACAAACAACTTCCTCTTTATTGATGAACAGAGCACAAAGACATCCATTCACATTATCTTTTTTCATTTTCATCTTATCAGACGCTCCAGCACTAGTCAACTTGCTTTCTCCTCCAGTCCAGAATTTCCTCATCACCAAACTCCCTCAGACTTGGCAGAAATAATGTTAATGTCAGTCACTTTACATTAAATCAAGGCATATTTAGCCCCCACTTTTGTTTCACTCTCTTCTCAAGCTTTTACCTCACTCCCTTGCCTTTCACTGGAAGCCATAATTAGTCCTTCATTAAGCCTTTGGAAATTGCACTAATGGACTTCACCATTCAGATGACTTCATTTAACCTGCAAATCAAGTGACAGTGGTGGAGGACACGACTTTGTGTCATGACTTCATCTTTACAAAGGCTCAATTAAGTTGCAGAAGCAGCAGCAGGAAGAGACCTCAGACACTTAGTCTCCTCACACTGCTCTTACTCAAGTGCAGCAGAGAAAGAAAAAAAAGGAGAAAGCACATCAAAGTGGTGATGGGTTGAAGTTGAGCCAGTGTTTAGCATCTCCTGGGGGAGGCACATTACATCCACTCAAGCTGATAAAATAGAGCGCTAACATCTTTCAACCTTTTTGCTGAGGAGCCACTACAAGTGTGGACAGCGGACTTATGACCCCAGAATACAAACACAGAACAGCACTATATAATATAATGAAACTCTGACACTCTGGGAAACATCACAGTTCAAATCCAGGCCACAGATTCTGTCTCCATGCTACAGTGTAGGCTAATAACATTCAGTTTCAATAAATCATGGCTTTAGTTTTACTGCATCAGCATGTATCCAAGGAGATTATACCTTTTTTGTCTTATTCTGCATATGTGCATGGAATCATCTTGGGCTAATACATTACATTTTGTACAGAGAAAAAGTGATCAAGCAGAAAGAACAATATAATTTGAGCAAACATAAATCAATTTTGCATGTTCATTAGGGTTAAGAAATCTAAATTAAGAAACAAAAACTACATCAGACTGAGTACAGAACAATTGTATTTGCTTTTACTGAGCACATAATAGTTTTATTTGCTGAAGATAAGCTGTTCTGTGCATGTTAATAATTTTTTTTCAAAATATAAAATAAATTGCTTGCAAAAAATGTTTTTCTGTGCACAAAATACCACATTACATAGTCAAGACTGAGGCACAAATAAAATTTTATAGTGTATATAAAATGATATTAAACTAGCATACCAGACTTAACTAACCTCACAGGGAGAAAGAGATGATAAGGTGTGAAACTTACTTTCATTAGAGCCTTGATTTTCATCCCAGGTACGCACATAATCATCCTACAGAAATATGTAGAAAACAGTCATTCATTAGCACAGAATGCACAAAATGAGGAGCCACGTAATTTACACCGCAGGCCTGAGCACATAGTTTTGTTGATAGCATAACATATTGACACGCTCAGCTTTATAAAGCAGAAGTGAAGTAGTTTACATTATTATTGCATACTGATTATAATGTGTACATTTTTCATGCAGCATGATAATTAGCGAAGGGAGTCATGCTGGAGATGAGATGGGGACGTACTGTGGCTGTACATCTGTATGTAAATGAGCCCAACAAAGCCTGTATGTGAGACATATGGCATCAGGGGTGAGCTGGCTTTTTACACCTTAATTAGAACATTAATCTTTCTAATTAAAATGGACAAGTTAAAGGAGATGTTGGGAAAAAAAAACAATAGAAAAGATAAACGGAAAAGCAGCGATAATGGCAAAATGAGTCATGAATGAAAAAGACATCGTACAAAGGCAGCCGGAGGAGCGTTGTAGAGCAACCGGAGAGAACTGACCTCTACCTCCTGGTGAGATGGCAGCAAAAGGAGAAAAAAGAACCAATATTAGTGAAGGGTACTGAGCTGTATTCAATGACATTGTAAGGCCATAAGAAAGACTTTTAACGTTCAATTTAAAGCGCTTGAAAGCGTGTTGTTTCAAAGCATTATATTAATGACTACTTAAAGCTACAGTATGTACATTGTCCAAACATTTTTGTTGTAGAAATATGCTCCAAAACATGTCTTAATGTGCAGAGGTGTTGTCAAAGCCTCCAGTGACCCAGACTCATTGGACAGTGGTGGCAGCAGTGCAGAGATATTAGCTTCTAAAAGATTTTGACCTCTCTCATTTCTTGTAATTTCATAACAACAATTATCTGAAGTGTTGAGCAGAGCATGATGGCGCTTAGCAGATTGGAGTAGAGCTTAGTAGAACAAGGAGAGGCAGTGTTGGGCAGAGCAGAGTGGATTGATTTGGCGCTCCATGCAACTACCTTAGGTTACATACTGTAGCTTTAAGCATCAATCGGTAAAAATTCAGAAAAAACATCCTCGTTACTATTTTCATGCTCAAAACATCAGACTCTGTGCTTCATCAGGATTGTGTAGATGTGATTTAATCACATTTGATTGACAGGAAACATCACATCACATTCTATTCAAATGTTGCTAAAATCTGACTGCTGCATGAAATACATGACATCAGTTTAACTCAGTGAGAAAAGCATGGACAAAACATAAAATCTAGGGCTGTCAAAGTTAACGCAATAATAACAAGTTAATGCAAATTCCTTTTAATGCCACAAATCTTTTTGGCACCTGATTAACACACGCATTATGACCCTCGGTTTGCATCGTAGTTTGGGAAATCAGGAAGAAATGCAGCAGCAGAAATGATCAGAAATTGATAAAGACACCGTCTTTTTAATGGTAAGTTAAGCTTCAAAGCCCTGCCAGATGGTTCTCTTAACAACACCGAAGTTGTTTACATTTACTGTCGATATGAACTGAGATACGACCTGAGTATGTTGAGTCTCAAATACCACTTGCTGGCCAGGTACACAGCTGATGCAGAGAGGCCCCCTGCAGATATTTGCATGTTCTGATAGGATCCTACCACTCATAGTAAGAAGCTGATAAAATAAGTTATGAGGAATTTAATATTAAACAAACATAGGAAAAGTGAAGAAAAGTCAAACACAGATTCTACGGAGCTTACCAACTTTCCCACTGGAAATGGTACAGATGTAAAGCTTTTTGAGCAGATTGCTGTGTCTGGAATAGTAAACATGAGTCGTCAAGATATTTACAATCAGCCACCCCCACCTCCTTAGCGATGACTTACTCATCACTGTAAACATTTACTACACTAAAAGTGTGTGCCAAACAGCTCCCCAGATAGCGATAAATCTGACATAGCACATGAAATAAGCAGCCCCCATGAAAGCTGAAACCTTCTTCTTTGACCCTCACAGTTTTATTTCACAGAAGTAAATATTTTTTATCACAGGCAAGAACTCCACTCCAGTGTTACAGTCCACTAAATTGTACTACAGTTGCTCTGCTCAACCACAAAAAAAAACCCCAAAAAATAAAAAATACACCAAGTAAACTGAGTTGTATCTGGATTTTAACTCAACCCTCCAGTTGAGCTTCATGAATGAGTGTCGGCTATGTCGTTTAACCTCATAGGGCATGATGGTGTCAGTCATTAACACAGTAAAGACCTCAATGAGTTTATGACCTGGCCATTAATCTAATGCCTCCCATGTCTCCTTTACTGATGCTTCAGCTCTTGCATTATTAAGCAGCCATTCTGTATTTGTGTTTGTGCCAGGACCATTGAGGAAAGTGTCCTGCTGTTGCTGACAGGACTGGAAATTAATGATTTCATAAAAGAGAGGCTTCAGAAAATGCAACTGGGGAAAATAAATTCTCCTGAGACCTTGATAAATCTGAGCACGAAACTCGGAGCATGGTGACAAGTTTGGCACACAGCAGGGAAGTTACATTACAAAAATATGACTCGCAGACCAAAATTCTCATCAAAAGAGGGCTGTTATCTTACACTGCAGTGATTAAAGGAAACAGGATGAGAGTTGAGAACACTCAGCTGTACCCAGCAGCTCTGTAATCTGCCCGATAACATCAGAAAGATCTCCTCTTGTTCAACAAAGCTTACCTTCCACATCAAACATGGCAGACTGTTCACCCTGCTGCCAAGCTCCACAATATTGAATGACAGATCGTAATCCCTCATATCTGTGAGGTGAGGATGATGACCCGATGAGCCTGACCACTGTAAAATTGGACTCATCTCAAGAGGAACTGAACAGTTTCACAGATATCTCCCAAAAAAAGTGTGTAAAAGACAGAGTGTGTGCTTGTTGGGTGGATTGTAAGAACAGGAAGCCGTGCTGGCTGTGGCGCCGAGCTGTAGTGACAGGTCACGCGTGTGAGTGACGGGTGTTTCTGGGTAAATGTCAGCTGTCAAATGCACTCTGTGTTCACAGTGGCTATCCTGAGTGGTTTGTTCAGTGACAGCAGAGGGCATCACGGCCTCATCAGTAACAAAGGACACAATAATAACACCCGTGCGGAGATCTGTGATGGCTCGTTTGGAGGTTTATGCCTGACCTTTTCTAACAATTACTGTTAATATCGGCCTTCAGTGGATTCATCAAACCCAAGCAGAACAGCACAGAGCTGCATCAGGGGTTATAAAATCCATGCAATAACCAATTTCAGTCCACACAAACCCCAATATCTGGTTTTCATATGACACTGTTTCTGTAGCCAAATTCTTTTTATTTTTCAGATGAAAAAGCCTGCTGCAAAATCAATACAAGCACCAAGGGAACTCCCAGTCAGTAAATATAAGACCGTTCCAGCATTATATTTTAAATTGATGCAGAAATGTGATTTCAGTGTGCCTGTTCCTTGATTTAAAAATAAAAAACAGTGGTTCATTGGTTCAGGCCTGGTCAAATCAAAGCAGTGAAGTGTGTAGTTTCCTACAGAAGAGGTATTCCTTTTTTTATATATAATGTAGCTCATGTGAAACTCTCAACAGGTTTTTCAGTTTAAAAGACAAATTATATTGTTGGTCCATACCGCCACAATGACACATTTAGGCATTTTCTAAATTGATGCCACTATTGACAGGATGACATTGGGGTTTCAAAAATAAAACAGTTCTGTGTTAAGGTTAGTAAACTTTGACATCAGGTTTAAAAGAAAGGAACACTGACTATCAGTAGTAAATGGGAAACTAATTTTGAGCTCTGTGAAACTCTGATGTTTTGCCGACCCATCTGCCCAACCTGAACTCTTCCCTCCACAGACCTTTACAGACAGTGCCACACTGTTTCTTCCTGTGCTCCCAATAAGTCAACAGTCATAACTGCTACAGCCTCTCAAGGGGTTTGCCACTTGAATGGAAACACATGTTGGTTTTTTTGGCATTTGCTGGGATGACTGAGGCTGACATCTAAGGGTTTAATCAGACAGACACCTGCTTTACTGAATGAGACTGAGCCACTCTACACCTAAGGTCCTTTTTACTGTAATCACCCTCCAGACTTCATCATGAACTGGGCTGCATGCCCACTATTTCTGCCACTGAAGTCCCCTTGTTCATCCTGTTTCCAGTCAACTGTGTTGCCAGTGAAAGGTCCTTAAGCAACTACAAGACCCCTTCAAAGACAAGAGGCACTAAGAGATGCAGAAGGAAACTGGCCATGTACAATGAGGAGTTCTCTCAGAGATGGAAAGCATCAATTAACCAATGATCAAGCAGAAAACATCCTTAGAATATAAAAAAAAAAGACACATAAAGCAGGCTAAGTATTCAAACAAATGCATTAAACATATATCTCTTCCGAAATATTCACATAATTTAAGTGTGGACATAAAAAAACAGTAAGAGAATTGATGAGTTTAAACATAAATATAAAGATATGTGTCAATCAAGATATATGCAAGAACAGGTTTAATGATTAATCAGGTGTAACATTGTGGGTGTGGTGTAAGAATGTTAACACTATGTAATAATTCTACTTGTGTGATGTAGAAGATAATTATCAAAGTATGTAATTATGTAAGAATGTTAACAATCTGTAATAATTTTTTAGTATATCACTAGCGTGGTGTAGAACAAAATTATCTATGTAGAAATACTGCTTGCAAACCAATGATGGTAAGATGATGTCATGGGGTAGGACT